ACTGATTTACTCAGAGTTTTGACACTCTGGAGTTAAAGAGTCTGATGGCCACAGGCAGGAATGACTTCCTGTGCCACTCTTTGGTGCATCTCAGTGGAAAGAGTCTTGCACTGAAAGTACTCCTGTGTTTGACCAGTTCATTGTGGAGTGAGTGGGAGACATTGTCCAAGATGGCATGAATCTTGGACAGCATCCTCCTCTCTGACACTGCTGTCAAAGAGTCTAGCTCCACTCACACAATGTCACTGGGTGCGGATCAGGTTGTTGAGTCTGTAAGCATCTGTTACCCTCAACCTGCTGCCCCAGCAATGAACAGGATAGCACTGGCCACCACTGACTCATTAAATCCTCCACAGTGTCTACACTGACCCCCTGGATGGAAACAGGGGTCAAATAAACTCTGCAGAGTCATCAGAAAAATTCTGAAGATGACTGGACTCTCTGTGGTAGTTAAAGTCCATGGTGTAAAGGGTGAAGAAAAGGAGGACAGTTCCCTGCAGGGACCTGGTGTTGTTAACCTACTCAAGTAAAAGTACAAAAGCAGTTGGCTAAAACATGAGAGTCATGTAGCTGTGTTTCCACCACAGAAACTGTTGATTTCAGAGTTTAATTTCTGAACCTTTGTGCTGAACGGCCAAATCTGATTGGACTGACAAAACTCTGAGTCGGGTACTAAAGAAGTGTATTCAGGCAGCGAATAATGTAATTGTGCCTGTAAGACTACTGTGAGTTAAGGTGTATTAATTGATGTGTGTGTGTGTATATGTTGCAGACTCTCCATGAGCAGATGGCTGCCTCTGTCCATGAGATCAGTAATTTGATTGATCCTGTAGCTGTGGCTGCTCGCTCTGAGGCCTCCCAGCTGGGACACAAGGTAAAACACAGCTGAGTGTTGGATGAATGTTGACTAGATGTGGTCCATCTAATGTCTGACTGCAGTAGAGCTACACTAACATTGGTTAAACCTGTTATAATCTAACATGTTTCTTTTATTTCAGAATCTGTTTTGAACTTGTATATAATATATTGTATAATTTATACTCCACACACTTGAACAGGTATCTCAGATGGCCAGCTACTTTGAGCCCCTGATAATGGCAGCCATTGGCACAGCGTCCAAGATCCTCAGCAGCCAACAGCAGATGGCTGTCTTAGACCAGACCAAAACCCTGACAGAGTCAGCCCTGCAGATGCTCTACACTGCTAAGGAGGCTGGAGGAAACCCCAAGGTACTGACACTGGCACAGAAGCTGCTATAGTAACCCGGCCTTTTCATTTTGACACTGGTTTCTGGGGTGGTGTAACAAAGCGCCAGGCCAGTAATATGGTGCAGTGTAGAATGCATTATAGTTATTATCTAAAGTGTTTGCTAACCATAGTAGCAGCTTCAGTTGTCAGAAAGCTCCTCAAAAAAGTCAATAAAAACATTGTTGTGATTATTGCTATTGTAGTTTAAATTGCAATTGGTACCATAATACAAACAAGCATAATACAAAGTAATTGTGTTTCTACATCAAAACAATAAAATAAAATGAAGCAGTATTTTGTTCAGAATGAGACCAGTTCTTCAATGTATTATTTTAAGCCTGAGAAAAGAAAAAAAAACAAAAAACTCACCTAACATATTGAAAAATATACACATATACACATATTGTCAGAAAAGACACTACACTTAACATACCTCAATATGTTTCAAAAATAGCATTACGTTTACATAAATGTCCACTTGTGGTAATATGGCTGGTCACATCTGACAATGGGAAAGTTAGCTTAATGATATCCAACCATATAACCGTTTAAATAATACTGTTAACAACTCGACACTGTAGCTTCTAGAGCTAAAAAATTAGCTTCAGACACAGGAGAAGCTACTTTACAGCCTGAATCCTTAAGGTCCTGATTCTGAGCTTGTAAGCTTAAAAAAATGATATGATGCTTAAATGTTTAACTTATATACATTTCAGTCAGGACCACTTTTGTCAAAATTTTCTGGGACCTCCTTGCCCTTCCAACCACTTCCACATGCCTAGCGTGGAAAACCTTTAAGGCAGGGAGAGCCACACCTCCTGCCTTGCTCGGAAGCATGCGAATGCATGTGAAATCGGTTTAAGACAACGGGAGGAGTGGCAGCAAGATGACCTCCCCCAGTTGGGTGTACAGAACATCAGCAAGCAGTCTCAATGCAAAAAAGAAATGACATTGCTCCTTCATGGTAGATAACATACAGTATAAGATGGATGGCGTGGTGGCGGTGGTTGTAAAAGGAGCAGCTGATAGAGATGAGCGCCATGGAGAGAGTACGGCAGCGACTTAAAGCATCTTTGAGAAATAAGGCAGGCCATAAATGACGTTATTTGTCAATTGGTGATACTTGGAGGTAAATCGCAAGGTGAACGCAATCAGCTGATGTGTGTTTTGACGACTAGGCTTGTGTGTGAGTCATGTCTGGGTTAGCTTGGAATGTGAGAGCAAAGCACCTCATGACCCTGTCGCCGGTGTGGCTTCACAGCCTTCTTCTCTGGGGCCCAGCTTTTTGATTAGAGTACTGACCACTGCAGCCCTGGTACACCAACAAAGGAGCGCTGGCAGATTTTGGAACGATGCTCTAGGGACCCCACGTGGCGTCGATGAGTCATTCACCAATTTGGCGCCATTGTTAAAGTCACTCAATCCACCATATATCAGGGGATTAAATGGACACCCTGTCATCCTCAATCAGAATCGAGATCCCCCAGACCATGGTATAAAACCAGATAATCAGTGTTATTCACATCACCTGTCAGAATGTTATGTCTGCAACTCAGGAATGCATTAAGGGAAATTCTTCAAATTTTCAGTGTCCACTGAACTGATTTTGGTGCTCAAAGGTCACTGTGAATGTGTCACAAAATATGTTTTTGGCATAATTCAAGAATTAATGACAATATTCCACAATTGGTCGGACAGATAATTGGTGACTCAAGCTCAAAATTACAGAGAAAAACAAGTCTTTTGGTGATATATATAGGGATAACTTCCATTTAGCTAAAAATAAACGGTATACCGTATTTATTTTTATATATTATATATAGATCATAATTAATAATATAATATTATATATTATTCTTCATTTAAATAATATTTTTTAACACTAACTTATGAATGTAACTATGAAATTATTCACTTACGACGTTGCCTCTGTGACGTTTACAGTGCTGAATACACGCAGTTGAACATAGAAATGTAGAAATGTATATAAAATGTATATATGTATATATATATATATATATATATATATATATATATAAATAAATGAATAAAATACCTGCCAAGTATTTACTGCATATATTATTAGTCTGGCATAATTCTAGTTCGTTTATTTTACTGTTTGTAATCTTATCTTCTTTATCATATTTTGCTCAATTTCATTTGTTGGATTGAATTTAATTGTGGTGCTGAGTTGTTTTAACAGTTTGAATAGTCCAACATTGCCAAGTCAAATGTGTTTTCCTTTCTCCAGGCAGCACACATGCAGGAGGCCCTGGAGGAGTCGGTGCAGATGATGAAAGAAGCAGTAGATGACCTTGGTGCCACTCTGGCTGAGGCAGCCAGTGCAGCAGGCGCAGTGGGTGGCATGGTGGACTCCATCAATGATTCCATCAATAAAATGGAAGACACACCTGCACTTGAACCTGACGGCACCTTTGTGGACTACCAGACTACCATGGTTAAGACAGCCAAGGCCATAGCTGTCACTGTGCAGGAGATGGTAAGGTATTTTGATAATTATCCAACAAGCCTAAGTAGATCTGGTGACTAGAACAAAGTCAGATATTTTAACAAAATTAGCTAAATAGTAAACCATATTATCAAAATTACGTCAACATGTACCACTCAAACAAACACTACACTATCTCAACATAGAAAGTGTACTGGTTAAGACCACTTTAAGTTGCATTGGGACTGGAATACTGGGATTGAATCAAGGTGGAGCACCTAATCAGAATGAGGTAAGTCATCTGTGAGAAGTCTCCAGCCCTTCCCCCTGCGTAGGTAGTAGCCTTCCAACAACTTACCCCTGCTGTGTCTGTCTCCTAACCCTGGGCAGGCTCCAACACTGCCCATTGTGGCTGCAGCAGAGTCCTTTTAAAAAATGGGGAGGCAGAGTGGTCGAGAGGTAAAAAAGGGCCGATCACTAATCAAAAGGTTTCTGATTCAATCCTTGGCACTGACAGGAGGGTATATTCCAGCTGCGAGTTGGGAGGCACTGAAAGTCGGCTGGTAGCATATCTACAGCGCCCACAATCTCTGCCGCTTAACTGTTCCAGGGCCTGATCTCGCTTATGTAATGCGTATATGTGCAAGTTCTGCCCTTTTTACCTGCATGAGGATCAGTCCTTTTAGGCACAAATTAGACACCCACCCCTGTGACACAACGGAAATTTGCTCCACACACAGGGTTGTGCGGAGGTGTGGCTGTGTTTATTTGTGCTTTAGAACAAAATAGTGTTTTATTTCTTGGATTCATTGCTTTATTCTCACCAACGTTGCTCATTCTCCTCAATTATGCTCTATGTAGCTCAACCAAAGGTTAGTTTACAACGAATGAAATGTGGATAAGTTGTGAGTTTTGATGTAATTTCATAAACCAGCACAATATCAGTACAATCTCTGAAAAAAATGCAAACTGCAAATATAAATCATGAACTATACATCTGCAATATTTGTTTTTGTTGTCATCTCTATCAGTACTGTTGGTTTTAAACAATCTACGTGGTGAAAACCTAATAGATGCACTTATTACTCAACTAATGACTCCCATCTCTCTTCAGGTGACTAAGTCTAACACCAACCCAGATGACCTCGGAGGATTGGCCAACCAGCTGACCAATGAGTTTGGAAACCTGGCAAATGAGGCCAAATATGCAGCTGTGACTGCAGAGAATGATGAAGTAAATAAAACCAGCCATACCTCAGCATTCCCTCTTTTAAACACTTAACAGGCCATGCCAGTTGCCATGTCTCATTTTCCATCATTTTCATGCTGTCAATCAGATTTGTCTCTATTTGTTTCCAGATTGGTTCTCACATTAAGAAGCAGGTGGGTGAGCTGGGTTTCAGCTGCACAGGTCTGGTGACAAAAGCTGGAGCTCTGCAGTGCAGCCCCAACGACTCCTTCACCAAGAAAGAGCTCATTGAAAGCGCCCGCAAAGTCTCTGAGAAGGTCAGACCACAACCAATGACTTTTTTTTTTCTCCACTTTTTTCAGCGTTTTATTTATTACACTGCAATAATGAAGAGATGATAGGAAACAAGGGAGCGAGAGATGTAACAGAGGTCCCTAGCACAATTTCAACAGGGTTGGCATCTTGACTACTAGGCCAATGGTGCACTGGTGGCTTTGTTTTTACATGTTTTTATAACTTTGATCTTTAGCAGATATAAACAGTAACTACCACTCATAACATGTTGGTCTTCTTCTTGCAGGTCTCCCATGTGTTAGCATCCCTGCAGGCAGGTAACCGTGGCACCCAGGCCTGCATCACAGCAGCCAGCGCTGTGTCTGGAATCATCGCAGACCTCGACACTACCATCATGTTTGCCACAGCTGGTACTTTAAACAGAGAGAACGCAGAGACCTTCGCTGACCACAGGTACAAATTGCTACAGAGATTCTCTATAAAAGATATCAGTAGAGTAGAAAGAACTCTTATTGATTCCTGTAGGGAAACTAGATTATTGCAAGTATTATCTCATATAACAGGTGAAGCAAGGGAAAGTATAACTGGGGTAGCTAGTCATTTAAAGGTTTAGGTATGGTGGAGGACCATGGTTATAAAAATAGTTTATCTGTTGTATCTGTATGGATTGTTACAATTGAATATATTGGAAATAACTATGGTCAGGTATGTTTATATTTGTGTTAATATGTCTACTTTCTTTCTCAACAAATCTCTATAATCCGTCCCGTCATGTACACAAAAGACAAGGGAACAAAGGGATATTTACAAATGTTATATATATATATATTTACATTGCTATTTGACTCGTAATGAAAGTGCCTCATCAGGAGAAAGGATAGGGAAATTAAATGAGAGTTTTCAGCAGTGGAACTAACAGATAAAATATTAGGTTTTGTTATAGAATTTTTATGTTTCTCTGTATGATGCCCCATAGATGGCCCTTTTTGTAGCCTTTTTCGTATTCACATGGTAAATTTGACAGCCCTAATTACACAGTAATATAGACACAATGTGAACAAGGAGGCAATGAATGACAAAAAGGACCAGAAAGCCATTCAACTCATTTATTACACTTTAGTTGTTGACTGTTACAGGTAAATACAAATATTTCATTAAGAGAGGAGCTAACTAATAAGTATGAAATAAATAGCAATTCAATGCACAAAAATAATGCACCCAATGTAGAGTCAACAGGAAAGTAGGATGGGCTGTACTGAAAGCAGTTTGTACTGTGTGCTTCTGGCTGAGTTAAGTACTGCTTTGGAAGTGGTAGTCGTGATATTTTTAACATTTGTGTTTGGTTTTTTGCAAGTTCTGTAACTTGATTTAAGGGCCAGTGTGTAACATCAAGGAGGATATATTGTCAGAAATGTAAAATAGTATTCTGTTTTCAGAAGTGTCTCTGTATTACCTTATAATTAACTGTGTTAGTTCTACCTCTTCTATTGAGTCTGCCACGTTGAACTGCCATGTTTCTATAGTAGCCAACAGTAGCCTACAGTAGACAGACCTGTATTTATATTGTTACAATCTGCAACTTCACCACTAGATGCCACTAAATCATGCCAAAGTTCTCACATCACAACATGAGCACCGAAACCTGTATTTTGCTATCTATCATTAAGGTTCACTATTGAATGTTGTTATTTACGAGTGGATGTGGAGACAACAGAATACTATCTGTAGTGACACACCGTTACCTATTTCAAAGTGTTAACTATCAACTGTAACTGCACTAGTCATGGTTGCATTATTGAAGGTCCTCAATAATAGCTGGTAACTTTGTGACGTCGCTGTGTGCAGAGAATGCATCCTGAAGACAGCCAAGGCTCTGGTGGAGGACACCAAGCTGCTGGTATCTGGGGCTGGAGCCAGTCAAGAAAAACTGGCCCAGGCTGCCCAATCCTCAGTGTCCACTATCACCAAATTGGCTGATGTGGTCAAACTGGGAGCCGCCAGCCTTGGTTCTGAAGACCCAGAAACCCAGGTATGTCCAACTGTCCGAAAACACAGTGCATGTTTGTCAGCTGTGTGTCTAAAACTCATTCACTGAAAAAGTAGTTGAAAGGCAAAATATGGATTTAGAACAGTTTCAGTTACTTCATGACATACAGTACGGTCCTGCCAACAGTTGTCCTTCATGATTTAAAGTGGATACTTTACACATTAGGTATCTGACCTATGGTATTTCCCAAGGCTCCATCCTTGCCCCCCTGTTGTTCTGTGTTTACATGATGGCACTGGGACATATCATACATAATAACAAAAAATCTGATACACAAAAGTATGTCCCATTTAAAAACCAGTAAAGAAGGCAGTTTTCTTTTTCTTTTTTTCTTTTATAAACTTACTATACACTATAAAACCAGATAAATTCATTTAACTCAAAAGGAAATTTGAAACTGATTACATCAACATTTAAGACTCTAGACTAATTCAATTCTTTTTATTTTTACTGTGAAAACAAAATACCTTGTAAGTTATTATTCAGGAATATTTCTGTAACTTACAAACTAAGTTAGTGTCACCTAAAATTACTTGTAAAAGCTGCTTAATCAAGAATAATTTTAACTTAACTGAGTTTGTGTTAAAATGTTGACGTAATCAGTTTAAATACATTTTTTAGCTAAATGGACTTGGATCTGGTTTTACAGTGTAAAGTGCTGAATGTGACATATATTAAAATTACTGTTTTATCTGTTTAACTATTGTTATAGTGATAATCCCATTTTATTTTTGTATTATTTTAATTGTCAGATTTTATCAGCCTCATTGCAGTCCTGACATATTTTAATCATGGTTCAACTATGCAAAGCACTTTGTAATTATTATCATCATTATGATTATGCTAGCTATGGTAAATTCTGTAGACTGTGTTTCAGTCCTCTGAAGAACACAACTATCAGCCACTGCACTGGGACACAGTTCCTACTTGTGTCTGGGTACAATCACTTTTTATATGACATGATCAAATTAGACTGTAAAGTACCGGTTCTGCACTCTACAGGTGGTTCTGATCAACGCAGTGAAGGATGTGGCCAAAGCTCTGGGCAACCTCATCAGCACTACCAAGGCAGCTGCAGGCAAACCGCATGATGACCCCAGCATGCTGCAGCTTAAGAACTCTGCTAAGGTAAGATACAGAACCCTCCGACCCTGTTTGACACTCTGGTTGGAGCATGTCAACACCTTTAATGGGGCACTCATTCAGTCCCGAGTCTAGCCCAGAATCTTCTTCGGAGGCTCAGTCTGAGCTAAAATTTTATAACACTGGAGCACTTTTGATAAGATAAGATATTATCTATATATATATCATATATAGGTACTGACCACTGCAGACCAGGGACACCCCACAAGAGCTGCAGTTCACAATTTGGCCCTTGTCAAAGTTGCTCAAATCCTGCCCATTTTTCCTGCTTCTAACAACTATCGACTATCAACAAAATGTTCACTTGCTGCCTGATATATCCCACCCACTGACAGGTGCCATGATAACCAGATATTTAGTGTTATTCACTAGAATTGTCAGTGCTCATAATGTTATGGCTGATCGCTTTATATTGTATGTTGCATACTGTTGAACTACATGGTATGTGAACTAGAGGACAATAAATTCCAGGATTTTGTCTGTTATCTTTGTTGCTTTTGGGCTGTCTCTGGGGAATGTTTCCCGTCGCTGGAAGGCAGCTTCCAGAGTTTGC